GATTTCCAACAGAGATTCGTATATGTATATTGTAGGTAGAGGCATGATTTTATATTGTATAAACAAAGATTGACAGTGAGTGCCAAAAGGCACTCCTGCTAATATACGTAGAGCTTGTTTTTGTAGTACAAAAGCTTTATTTGAAAATGTGGAATTACCCCAGAGCAATACAGCATAACAGAGATGACTATGAACAAGCGAGAAATACACAGTTTTAAGTACATAATAATAATAATAATACAGGCAATACCCAAGCAGCATATGCTGAAAAAATTAGAAAATATGCCGAATTATTGCTTGAAGTAAAACAGCTATGGCAGGTTAAAGCAGTATACATCTTGCCCATAATAATATCTGCTACAGGAGTAATACCACGCAATCTCCATGAAGCTCTGAAAAAGTTAGAGGTACCATCATCAATATACATTAAAATGCAGAAGGCAGTAGTTCTTGGTACATGCAACATGGTCAGAAAATTTCTCGGGGAATAAAAAGAAAAACAAGCAAAGCTTCTTTACCTTGGTTCGACCCGTAAAGATAGTACCTAGCGTTTAAAATACGAGATAAACCAAAAATAAAAACTTATTTAAAGTCGAAGTTGAGAATTGAATGCAATAGAAATTGTTTCCAGCTTTAAATTCGTCTCGTCAGAATTTATACCAAAATTATAATTTATAAATATATATTCTAGTGTTTTTGTTAATTTTATCAACGTCAATTGTTCCTAATTTTAGGTTTTGAATCTAAATTTTCATTGCTTCAAAGTTTGTAGGAAACCTGCGAAAATATTACCAATAACATTCTACCGTATACGTGTACCGCCCACGTTTTTTATTTACGTACCTTTGAAACTGCGTGGAAATTCCCCAAATGTATGTTTTAGGGCAAAAAAACATTGAATATTGGTGAATTTCGGTATAATTTAAATTTACCGCGCATCGAACATTTTAAAATTGCGCCAGCATCGCGGACTGAGCTATATGTGCTGTGCGCGAACGAAACTTTCCCGACTACCGACTTCGTATTGAACATCAGCCAGATAGAGAGCTTTTTGGTACTTCACCCAGTTCGGTTGTAAATTATTTCCATCTTTAATCACACATGTATTTTTAAATTAATAAATTCGTTAAATGTAAAAGTGTTACATTATTTATTCAAGGAGAAAATAATAGCATTATAAATCACAAAATTATCCAAATAGTTATTTTGTAACTAACAAAATTCGTTAAAAAACCTTCTAGAAGCTTTAAAAACTTTAAAAATATGCCCTGGTATATAAAATCACACAAAATGTAAAAAAAATTAAAGTTCCTAAGTGATTGGTGAAAGTCGCTATTTAAAATAGAAGAATCATATCAAAGAAAAAGGAAAAAAAGAAAATAAGTCGCAAAAACGTCAACTGTCAATAAAAATCTGACCACTCCGACATCAAAGAAGCCGATTCAAGCTATCGCTAGTGTATTATTAATTATACTGGGGTTTTAGCCGAGAATAACAACCACAGAGAAGTGACAATAAATGTCGGTCCTTTAAAGTTTGGAGAGAAAATTTTGTGACTTTGAGTTTGACTTGTGAGACGGATGGTCGGTATAATACATCAAGAAAAAAATTAATTTATCGTAATAAATGCTGTACACTGAGAAAAAATATATCGTCGTTTAAGATGTAATACGTCGTAACCCTCATAGAGGGTTTTTTATAGGAGAACAAGGAAACTAACTGTGCTTGAACAAAATAATGTATTTAAATTAAAATTGTATGGATATATTGCTAAAAAAACAAATTAGGTTCCTAATATAAAAATAATATGTTTATTTTATATGTTAGTTGTGTGGGTGGGTTACGAGCTATTGCTTCGATACAATATTAACAAAATGTGGGTTAAAGTAATGTAACTTTATTTATTAAAAATAATAAAAAATACAAAACTAAACCGTTGTGACTACATAATTTATACATGAGTTAAATTATCATAGAAACCATGACAGTCCGCAGGAATTACCGATTTAAGCTCTTGTAGATGCTTATAATTTAAGGCTTTTAATTTTTCTTTTCTGAATTTAGTTGTGGAAAAACAAGACAAACTTTCTTTTCGGTATCATCAAAATCAAGGTTATAAAATATATTTTCTTTAGGAGTATATTTAATGGCTCGAATATCCGTTACATTTTTATTATTTCCAGGTCTAATACTTCCATACATCTGATTTTCTTTCTAAGAGAAGTTTAGGAAACGGTCAAAATTTACCCAATCGGCACTATAAGGAAACGGATTCCTCCGAGCCTCACGAATAATGGATAAATAGGTTGAAGGAAGATAAATCTATCTACTTTCTTTTATTTTAGCTTCAATTCTGCTATGAACAGAATCACATTGCATTTGCGTGTGCCCACGTTCTAAGTACTTCTGTTCAATGATTTTATTTTGGGTAACTGATAAAAAAAAGAAGAGCGTTAGCCATGATATTGTTCCTATTTTGATAGGTGCGCCCATCGCTGTAAATTATAACTGGCTTGCTAGGGTCCGTAAATCTTGAAATATAGTAAATAATTAAGGATGCAAACGTAGAAGCTGAAAGATATCTACTTCGCTAAACCAATAACACATTACGTGTTTGGTTTTTATATTCATAACTGTAAAATTATGGCAGCATAACTTTGTTTTATAGTATAAAGCACTTCCATTTAAACTGGAGCATACTTTAACAGATTTTAAGTCCGTCATTAGAACCACTACCTCTTCATCCTCAGCTAACTTAGCATCTTTCGCTTTTTCTTGCCTTGCTCTATCTTTTTTAGCCATATGTCTGGTAAACAGATCTTCTTCTAAATGTCCAACTTCGTAGTGGCAACAAAGATCGCACCTATCTTTTTTAGGCTGATAAATACAAAGATTGTTTTCTTAAAACATGTCATCATAGGATTTTGATTTTCTGTATTACATTTTAGAACATACTCCTTATATAAAGCAGTTTTTGAAGGCACTGTTTGATCCAAATACAATTTTGACGATGTGTTACGGTAAAAATGGGATGGCAGGGTAGGCAATTCATTGAAAAACTAAATTAAAAATTTCTTATTGGCATTTTTTGAGTCTCGAAGGTGAGCTGACTTATTTTCATTTTTGAAAATTTTAGTTTCGTGCATAAGTAAATCTTACTAGACTTATTCTTATATTATGAAGTGAATCATGTAGTACTTTGTATACATGTAAATGGTAATAAAACCGTCAAAAAATAAGATTACAGTTTGATTCTAAACAAAGTTTTGTAAAATTTCAATATTGTGAATTTGTAGATATCCATTTATCGTAAAAAACAAAATTTTACGACTTGTACTTGAAAAATAATGAATACTTTAGTTTTGATTTTGACATTAACACCATATAGATTGCAATTTTCTGGGGAGTTTTTCGCAGATTTCCTTTTTAATATAAACACTATCACATGCTATAAGAAATAAACAAATCTAAAGCTAAAAAGTAAGAAAAAACTCGAATTGTAATTCATACAAATTAAAATGTAAACCATGAACACGAACGCCAGTGTTGCCAAATGATGAACTGATTTTAAAACAAAATTAACAAATGAACTGAAATATTAAAAAAATCAATATAATAAATCGGTTTTATAAAAAATTCTTAAATAAATATAGAGTATGATAACATATTACCATACACAAATTTTGATTCTTAAATAAAAGGTCTTAAAATCCGACGACGTAGCGAAGGTTTGCTACTTCTGGCCGCAGTGAACGATATCCTACTTATACGGACCTTCTACAAATTTCCTCCAGAGGGCGTATCACTTAGCTTGAATCGCGAATACTTATTGTAAATATGTGGCTTGCACGATTTTGCATGGATATAACCTAACATCCCATAAGTGAAATGGCGCAGAAAACTCGTTTTGGCAAAAAGTGTGGGTTACGAGCTCTTGCATCTTAAACGACGATATTGAAATTGAAATTAATATTATTTTACCTTACTTATCATGCATCAAATTTATATTATAAAATATTGATTTTTTTTACAGTAGTTTCTATCATGTTTTTATCACTTTTAATTTGATTTTTCTAAAAACAAAAATAAAAACTTGTTAATAGTCCTTTCCCGTTATTAATGATATCTAATACTCATGCGCAAATCTTACTTTCTGTTAAAATTAAAGATTTATTGTTGTTTTTTATTCTCAGTTCCAATTACAAATCCGTAAATTTCATTTTTAACTTTTATTATTGGTAGGGGAGCCAATGACACTTTTAGCTGTGTTATTTGCGCAAGGCAAAATTATAAATATTTCGTTCATTCCTACCTTAGAAAATGGAAATAGTTTGCTAGTGTCTAAAGTGATAGAGTCCTCGATGAGGACGTCTTAAAAAAGTCTGTTTAGATAATGCCTTGTGCAAATGTGTACCAAAAAAGTGTCACTGGCTTCCCTACTGTATAGACTAGGTAACAGTTGTTTAAAGTAACGATGAAAGAGGGTTATCGTCGTAGCCAACCCAGCAGTCATTAATGTTTTGGATTACTCCATACAAAAGGTCCTAATTAAGGCAGAATAGTAACTTTTGATAAAGATGCTGTACAGTTGCTATAAAAGTAGTTAGAAAGTTGCAAAATAACAACTGTAGTTAAATAATTGGGTAACATATTTATTTTTACCTTTTTTTTTTGTTGTGTAGGTATATTTTTATTAATAAAAACTTTTTAGATTCTACAGTGTACCTTTACATATTATATCCTCTATTTTTACCAAAACAATTGTATTATAATCCATCTACGAATCAAACTATTTACGAAAAACCGCTACCGCTTTCACCGTATTTTCCCTTCGACGAACACAAATATCACGTCTTAGCTTATTTGGTTGAAGAAATCGGCTGCACTGTTTGCATCTTTATTAACTACGGTACCGATACATTATTCTACAGTTTTATGAGTTATGTTCTGGGCCAAATAGATATTTTGAAATACTTTATAAATAATTTCGATTCGTATAGTAAGAAGATTAAAGAACAGTTGGAATGCGATGATGATAGAGCAGATTTTGTTACGATGCAGCTTTGTATTTCTGAACATCAAAGAATAATTAGGTAAGTTAAAATAAGGTGTTGTTGAAATACATGTATAAATTAAAAGTTACAAAAATATGTGATGTTTGTTAATAAATGGCATTATGTATTAATTCTCGAAATTGTCGGTTTTTAATTGTAAAGTTTTCTTCAGAGATATTTTTTTATAATTTCGGCACTATATTCGCTTTTTTTATTTGTGTGGCTATGAAAGTTATAGATCGCTTAGATAGAAGACTGATACTGATTCTATAGTCTAGAGAAGAAAGGAGTGCAGTAATTTAATTTGCAGAACGTAGTATAGGTTCAAGAGGTAGACATTTTTTACACCCCATCCTTCAATGCTCATTTGTTGTTAAAATGAAAACTTTAATACATCTGATCGACCTAATAAAAGTTTTTGCTTAGATTTCATCATATTTCCATGGTTTTTACTGTAATAAACCTTTTATTTTGACAGATAAGTCAGACTTCAATTATTCATAGCCGTTTCGTATGTGTTTCAAATGATTCGGAATTTTGTATAAGTATATATTATACTTTTACAGTTACATAAAAATAGCCAGTGCATTATCTTTAGAAGAAAAAAATATCGTACTTCGAGTCGATCTTTTTATCTCTGAGTAAAGTTACATGTAGGTTTACTTGACAGATTAACAAACAATAGCCCTATATTTTAATCAGCAAGTAGTTATTTTTAACTATACTCAGAGGTGAAAAGACTGGCCCTTAATGTATTTAATAATCTTGGAAAAGACTTTGTTTTACTTTCTGTAGATAAATTAGCATCCACCTTTACCACCCAAAATTCTTGGCACAATTTTAAGTGAACCCAATCATTTCATTTTCAAGAATAGTGATTGAATCAACTATTTTTCCATTGTGAAGTAGATAATAACTATTAAGTGGTAAGCTCCAATAACGCTGTTTTTTTTTTATTTGGGTTTGTATTAAGTGTAGTTATTATTATCAGTATCATATTGTTTGCAAGCACTACAACTATTAATAAATATTTTGGTTAATGTAATATTTGTTTTATTTTTAATACGTATTGTCAGCTAACTTTTCTTCATATTTTAAGATTAATTTTAAATATATATCAGGTAGAAAGTTTGACATAAATTTTTGTATTAGAAATATTATATGAAACTTAACCTACCGTTTTACAGTTTTTATTGTAAATTTAATCATTTTCACAATTTGTCACACATGTCAAATAAAAAAATATTTTATAAATATCTATTATTGGCAAATAAACCAAGTGAACTAAAATGTTTATTTCATAAGATCAGTCTCATCGCAATACATAGCATTACAAACTAGAATGACGATATATAATGCGCGGCATTCTAAATTATACTCTACACAGTTTAACAAACCACCTTAACTTCCATTTTCAATCAGATTTTTTTCAGAATTAATAGGCTTCATCCCCTTATTGAGCTTGCTTTTTCCAAAAATTTCAAGTTGATATTACCTACTGTTCGTTTTTGAGATAGAATTTTTTTTAATATTTCAACTTCCCTTAACCCCCCAATGCTATTAATTTTTTTTTCAAAATCAAAGGGCTTCTTCTCCATATGGAGCTTGTTGGCTAAAAAATTTCATGTTGATATCGTTTTTCGTTTTTCCTTTTTCGTTTTAAATTTTTTATTTTTTTTTTAATTTTAACGCATTTTAACCATAGAAATAGTATAGAAAGCCGATTACATATATCAAAAATGAAACCATAAGGAGAAAATAGTGTGTCGGAGCTCATGCGTATAACGGTGCTGGCGCGAACAGGACCGGTGCAAGTTTTTTATTGATCGAACAAATTGTTCGCACGATATTTCAATCATACATTTTTAGAGATGATTATATACAAAAAACGATTAAAAAAATTTCAAGTTAAGGTAAATATGGTTCTGACAGTCCTTATTAAGAAAGATATGGCATAAAATATGAATTAGTTAATTTTCGGCAATCATTAGTACAGTAGTCATGAGATTTTGCTTGTGATTTTAAAAATACTTTCCAGAAAAACCACGTGCTCCGGTTTTGACTACGTTTATTATTAAACAGCGAAATTATATACAAAAACTTTAATCCACAATCAAAATTAGGTACTATCACAAGAAAATCACTGTTACAATAATTAATTACTTAACCAAAAACTAAAATACTTTTTAGGTACCTACGTAACCAGAAAGGAGCTGGACCATTTATCCTAATATTGATTTTCTCTCTCCCTACGGTAAAACTTAAAACAATAACAAATTGCCTATCTACTAGGGTCGGTAACTAAACGTATATACATAATGGGCGGATTTTGTTTATACTTAACATTACACTCGCGCATTTAAATATAACTATACATATAAATATTTACAAACAAAGATACGTTTCCAAACAGACAATCATTAGTACTGTAGTCACGAGATTTTGCTTGTGATTTGACATCTTATTTGATAATATCATTTGCTACAACTAAATTTAATCTGGGGAGTGCAAAATAGGGCCCAGGAATATTATGTTCGATATTTTTTTACATTTTGTCAGCCGAGACTATGAGTCGTTAGACAGAAAACCTTCCATGTTACCATTTTCAATATAAATTAAAAAATTAAAAAATACTACTACATTTACTTGGTACATATTTTATTTTAATTTTGAACCTTTTTAAAAGGGTCTTTCGGTTCCATAATAAAAATTAGTTGCTGCTTACTAGAAACATTCTATATAGCCTAAACCAATTTATAGTTTGTTTTCGATCAATTTAATACAAAGATTTAAAGTTTTTAGTCGATGATAACATTCCACACCAGCACATTGCAAACCTATTTTATAAATAATAGGAATAAACTTGTAAATCATTAATTTGGTAGTTATCTCACTCATATGATTTTTTTGTTTATATGACTATTTCGATTTCTAAATATATTTTGGCCTTACAATACGAAGCGTTTTGTATCTACCACTTTTTTAATGAACGATGAATGTTGGCAGGCGTGTACCTTTTTCGGAACAAGAGGCGTTTTAACGAAGGAAATGATTTTCGAACTATCTAGTTAGTTTTCGGAAAAATAGACAACGTTTGAAGAAAGTTGTCAATAACAGTTTGACGTTCATGTGTTTCATTTTGATCAGCTTTCATACTAAATTGCGTAGAATATTTTTCCGATTCAAAATCGAGATTCTCGATATTTCCACAGTTTATTTATAATACCTTCTAAACTGGATTTATCTATCATTTTATATACTTTATAATATATGTTCATGCCCTACTTTTCACTTTATTAACAATTTTTTTTTAACATACTTCAAAATGGTAGGATATTCTCAATTCGTTGAAATATTTTTTTATGTATGTTGAGCGATAATTCTTTACCACGTTGCCCGATTTCTAGGATTATTTTTGTTAGAAAAGGAAACAGTTTTATATACATTAAGTCAAGATCTGAAGATGGGATCCATAAGAAAATCATTAACATCTTTATTTTTAAAGTAGGTTTTTTTTTAAATTTCTTTAAACCTTACTGGTTCGAACGCGGTAAGGAATGAAGAAATGTAAATAATTGTTGTGCCAGCCAAAAAGCGAAGAGGAAGTACCGATTAAAATATCGAGTGACAGAAGAGTTCCTAAGATTGTTGAGATCGGGTTTATGTTTTAAAATGCCTTAAAACCGATATCGATAATGTCTCCCCGTCGCTGGGCAGCCTGTATATAAATATACAGCTCTCTATTTACATAATTATAATTCTTAGGTAGGTTTAGATTTGCAGACATAAATCTTGTAATAAATATAACAGCTGCCTAATACATTGATTACATTTTCATTAGCCAATGTAAAAATGTCTTTTATTGTACCTAGGATTTGACTAAACACTACACAAAACTAAAAATAAAATGCCACTTTCATCGTGTAATTAATGCCGCGTTTGAGAATCCACATCGGATGCATTTTTTATATCTCGAGCGTTTTTTATCCACATCGGACACATCTGTCCCATTACATTTACGTATACTGAATCACGTGATCAAAAATTTACTATTTACTACATCTCAGATGCATCCGATGTGGATTCTCAAACGCGGCATAAACAATAAACTACAAACGGTCCTGTAAGGGCAGCATCATATAGCCTTGAAACACCGGATTTTAGTGCTATTGCCAGGTCAATATTGAATTTGTAGGTGAATCGCTTATTGAACATTAAAAATACGGTATTAATGACATTAATACGGTATTTGTATATATTTTTGGGAATGTAATTACACATAAATATTATTAGTTGATTATTTAAATGTGTATAAGTTATTTTGTGGCGATATTTCGTAGATATAAACTGTTTAAATCATATAATTTAAAAATTAATTAATTTAAAATTCTTTTCTGTTAGGTATGTTTAATATATTTGGCAACACTACAGGTACAAGTCATGCATATTGCGCAAGCTTCTAGACACACTATTTTGCGATGTCAGGCGCAGAGACGCGTTTTTATGCACAGTAGGTTTCAATTTCTGCTTAAATGTTATGTTTATATTGGTCTTCTATATTATTTCTATGATTTTAACCCCCTATTTTGAAAAATTTTGAAATTTGCATCATTACATGTTGATTTATTAATGTTTAAAAATAACAAAACCTCACAAAATAGGAAAGCAACTAGACTAACAGTGACCTTCTAATGGCAAAAAGTCTTACTTCACGTCTGAACCAAAACCGAAGTCATGCAGGGCCGAATTTTAATTCTAAGGATGAGTGCGCCACGTTAATTTCCGTTATTCTGAAACAACAATTAGTCGAGAATTAATGAAGCAAATTTAAATTTTTTTTACACGGTTGAATAGAGAATAAAACCCTCTTTCAAATGAACTATCACTCATTACCCCATTCCATTTAAATTTTTCGAAAGGGTTGCTCCCCTCCAGTAAGGGATGAAATTAAGGGTAAACTATTCATACAAAAATTTACATTGTAAAAATCAAAAATCGACCTGTCTCGGCGATTTTCCTAACAAGACTCCAGTAACGAGTTAGATAGGGGGGGGTAAGACTTATGGTGCTCACTGTATATATCCTTTTGATAAATACTAATTAGAAAGTAGGACAGACAAATGAGAAAGTTACTGTCTACATTGTGAGCAACTTATTTGGAGTGACTGTACCAAACATATGGGGACATATAGACAATGTTCCTTCTTTTATTATTTCATTACAGGAATCTTATTCGGACTTTAATAGGGTTTACAGCTACTTTTAGTGAAATAACGGAGATAGAGTAAAGAACGTAATAATACTTGATTCATTTTACCTTATTTCTGCCGTTGCTACAAGCAAAATTTCTCATTAAGTCAGCGAAGTACGTATTCTTTTTAATTATCCATTATTTCGCGTAATTAAAACATAAAAATAAATTTACTCTAATATAACTAATACATCTGCATTTTTAGTTAAAATTACTAAAACTATAAAAATAACCGTCATAAAATTATGTCTAGTTTGAAGTCAATAAACAACAAAATTTTACATTTTTATTTACTTTTTAGGTACATTAACAATTATAATGATGCTATGAGAAATGTGATGCTTTTTGATTTTCTTCAAAGTTCTTTTCAGTTAGCTGTGATTGCAATATATTTATTGGTACGTATTCAATAATTTAAAAACACTGTTGGTAATAATGAAATAGTAATTTGTATTGTAAAATTAATTGGATTGGTATACAGTATCGGCCATTGATAACTTTCCAATGCGGTTTGCTAGCGTCCAAGCAAATACTACAGAGAGTTAGCATTAGTGCAAGCAAGAAACTAAAATAACAAGTAGCCAGTAAACGGCCGCCTGGCTTCGTGGGGATAACTATCGATGCCCGGTATGTAATTACTGTTGACCGTCTGTGTTAGTATAAAGTCTCGAAAAGTCCATTCGCTTTCTTTATTGTTAAAGTAAAATGTATGTAACAAAAAGTTATTAGATTTTGGCACATCATAGAATAATTAAATCACGTTATTATGTCAGGTGGGAGTTAACAAAATAATTCTAAATTGGTCAATTTGCTAAAAATTTGAATATTGTGATATCTCAAAAGTTTTTATAAGTATTCCAAAAAATGGTGGAAAGATTTAGCGATCAATCAAAAACTTTAATCCTAAACGTAGTTTCCTATTGTAAAAGACACAAATCTATTTGAAGAGTACAGGGAAAAAAAAGGGGTTCATTGACAATTTCCGAAAAATACCGATATTTTGCAATGTTTTACTTTGCTTCGTGATCTTTTTGGCGATGTTATCGAAACCGGCAAAAAGGAGCTTCTTACCAGCCATGTCGATATTTTAACAAAAGGTGTATAGGTCAAGAACGGGCTCATTTAGCAGATGCAGACAAGAAGGGGCTTATTGTGTCAGAAATTATTTTGCGCGCGGCTTTTGCCACATGTTTGACATACTGATTTAGATAATTAAAAATGAGTATCAGTAGTGATGATAATGAGTTTAAAGATGGTGTAGAAGTTAAGATAATAAGAAAAGGAAAATAACCGGAAGAATGAGAGATGCTGGAAAAAAAATTAAAACTATGTCACATGAGATGGGATCAGACTGCCAGTACCAAAAAAACTGTTTTAACTTAGTTCCACAAGAGACTAGGATTAAAATTCTGCAACGAATTAATCTTCTGCCTTCTACTAACGCACAAAATGTATACCTTTGTGGACTAATATCCATCTTGCCCGTCCAGCGACCATCAAAAAAAGAAGTAAGTAAGCATTATGAAGCCACTTATAAATATCGATTGAGAGAAATGTTTAATGATGCTGAGAAATAATTTGAAGTATGCCTTAAAGTTTTTATATCTGTTCATGATTCACGAACAAAAAAGTTGAGTATTTAGTAAAGAGTCTCAAATCGACTGGATCAGCACCGGAAGACAAACGTGGCTTGCTTGGTAAACAAGAGAACTCGCTTAGCATTGAAACAAAAAGTGCAGTTCGTGAACCCATTAATTCATTTAAGAAAAGAAATAGCCATTACAGCTTGAATAAGACCTCAAAACTTTATTTTCCCGAAGATTTGTGTGTAAAGAAGATGTACAACATGTTTTGTGAGCTGCACATGACTATTAAACTGTACTACGAAAGTTATAGAACTATTTTTAATCATGATTTCGACATAGCTTTCGGATATCCAATCACTGATACATGTAGCACATGCGATGAGTTTGTGGCAAAGTTAAAAGGTTTAGAAGCAGAAAAAAGAACAGCAAGCAATGACGAAGACGCCAAAAAATAACAAAAAAAAATTGAGAGCATTCCTATAGAAAACAATATTCACAAAAGAAAATCCGAGACATTCTATAAAAAAAAAGAGATGAGAAAGATGTATGAAAAAAAAACATATGGAGGCTAAATGCATTGATTATGGTAAAAACCTGCAAGTGCCCAACATTTCTACGAATGATGTCTATTACAAGAGGCAATTGTCGATTTATTCGTTCAATGTTCATGTTCTATCCAGCTCGCGATGTGTATTCTACGTATACGACGAAACTGAAGAAAAAAGGGAAGCAATGATGTTTGCTCTATGCTCCATCATTTTATCTAAAACCTCAGTGACAGAGCTACATATATTTTGTGACTCCTGCAGTAGTCAAAACAAGAATTTTACGATGTTCCGATTTTTACACCATTTGGTAAATATCGAAAGAGGATTACAGAAAATAAAAGTCACTTTTCCAATAAGTGTAACGTTGTATTCACGTTATTTTATTTTTAAACTACACCTTTAATTAATTGAATATTTTCAATGTTACGGGCCCTTAAGGTTAAAGTATACGCGATTCAAGCTAAGTGATACGCCATCTGGAGGAAATTTGTAGAAGGTCCCTATAAGTAGGATATCGTTGAGTGTTGCCAGAAGTAGCAAAATTTCGCTACGTCGTCGGATTTTAGATCTTTAAGAAGTGGATAAGGCCTTTTATTTAAGAATCAAAATTTGTTTCTAGTAATATGTATTCATACTTTATATGTATTTAAGGATTTTTTAAAAAACCGATTTATTAAATTGATTTTTTTTAAATTTCAATTCATTTATTAATTTTGTTTTAAAATCAGTCCATCATTTGGTAACATTGGCGTTCGTGTTCATTGTTTATATTTTAATTTGTATCAATTACAATTCCAGTTTTTTCTTACTTTTAAGCTTTAAATTTGTTTATTTCTTATAGTATGTGATCGTGTTTATATTAAAAATGAAATCTGCAAATTGCAATCTATATGGTGTTAATGTTAAAATCAAAACTAAAGTATTTATTATTTTCCAAGTGCAAGTGGAAAAATTTTGTTTCTGATGATAAATGAATATCTAAATATTCACAATATTGAAATTTTGCAAAACTTTGTTTAGAATCAAACTGTAACATGATTTGTGACGGTTTTATTACCATTTACATGTATACAAAGTACTACACAATTCACTTCTTAATATAAGAATAAGGATAATTAATAATAATAATAATAATAATAAAAAAAAAAGAATTTGTGAAATTGTCATTAAATTCTTTTTATTATTATTATTTTTTTAGATGAAGCACTTAATTACAAATAATCTTTTATTCATTTATAGTGTTTCAAAATAAAATAAAATTTATGTATCTGATCTTTAAATGACTTTTATTCAAAAAAAAATTGTTATGTCAGATATTTCAAATATTATGTTTCCGAGTAGGAAATTGCAAGATCTATCAAAATCAAGAAAAAAAAATTGGGGTTACTATTTAAAAAAATTGTCAATGACGTCACTGCCCAAAAATGGGAAGTGGGGGAAAATTATATTCTATCTAAAAAATTGCGCTTTCAGTAAACAACATTGATCTGTCCGAGCATTTTTTCGAAAAACCACCTACTTCCATTATAATGAATTTATTCCTTTTATTTGAACCATACTGTATATGCTGGGCTTAAATGCGATCACGTTTCGATAAATAAATTTTGTAATAATTTTGGGAGTATAGAATACTTTCAATAAATTGAATATTTAGTTATTCTGTTATTTGGCTATAAGTAGCAAATTTTCTGTATTCAATTTTTGAATAATCAGTGATTATATTATTTGAATATAAGTAGCAAATTTTTTTGTATTCAGGTTTTGATGATTTTTGAATATTCAATTATTGGTTTTGCTGATCGTATCACCTTGATTTTATGGATACATATTTGATCAGTAACTTCTATTAAATGAAATAAGCACTTGTTTTATAAATATTGTAAATTTAAATTCTGATTTTGATAAATAAGTTTAATTAATTGTAATTATTACTTTAATCTTGGGTTTGGCTTCACCACCGTACTTGTTCGCGTACGATTTTTGCGAAAAGTCGATTATTATTATACTCATAAATTCGACCCCGGACCTCAGTTCATCTGATCCTGGGGCCCCAAAGATCTTTAACACTTGTCTCACATATACAAATTTCCGAGGTACACCGTTGGATCCCTAATCGCATCACTAAGACCCGAGGAGTTGAGTTCAATTTAGAGTAGACCGTAGCTTCAGGAAGCCAGTATCAGTTAGATTTGAACGTTGCAATCCAGCTTCTTCGATGTTAGAAAACCCTAGTTAGTAACAGTCAGCTGGTTACTAATCCAGGCTCTGCATCAACTGAACTAGACACTAGACCGTCCTGATCTGACCTGAGTAGAACTGTACGCTCAAACTACCTCGCAGGACCACTTCAGCCAAAAAAGCTACAGGGAAGTCCTAGTTTTCGACACACCTCAAACAAGTTCAATTCGGATTTAATTTGTAAAGGCACGCGGTCGAATCGTTAATTATTAATATGTATCAGGCCTTCAGCCATTCATATTTTTTAGCCTTCAGCCATTCTTTTTTTTTCGCCCTCAGCATAAATCATTAAATGTTAATCTTCACTTGGCTTTTAGCATAATGTAATTTTCTTTTTCCTTTTTAAATAAACTTTTGAATTGATTTCAAAACTTTTAATAAGCCTTTCCACTATCTAATTTTCAGGACTATATTGCTTTTCGTTTAATAGAAGGTCATTATATTATCCTTAGATATTTGTTCACTATTAAATCAATTTTTTTCATTTTTTCTTTTTTAATTTTTTTTTATAAAAAATATGATGGTGCCCATTAACGATAAAAGGTAAACATCTTCAAGTACCTAAAGGCCGTATCACGATCTGAGATTAGCTGGAGTATAAATTAAGATGAAATCTTTAAAATATACATTTTTCAAAAAACTTAATAACAAACTGTAGTCAATTGATGTTAAATACTACAAAAACTTCAAGGGAGCACTGCATAAGGGGACATTCATAACTCGAATGTGACAAACATATGGGGCTGATTAATACTAAGGCCAAAGCTGAATTACCCAATGAATGGGTCAAAGTTTTTCGAGAAGCACGTCATTTTTTCGAAACTGGAATAATCATCTAGAAAAAATCAATAAATCACCATTTTCGTCACGTCTCTTAAAGGAGTACTACCAGGTCCAGTAATCAAATTTCGTTCTACATACAATGGCTTTTGGGAACTTGCAAAAATTCAGAAATCAAAAAAGCACCTGCGAAGAGGTCTACAGGACAACGAGTTCATTCTCCCTGGTCAGGCATATGGAGGTAACAGGCATAATATTCATCATTATTTTATGTTACAAAATTTTTGTGCTTATATTATTTTCAGATAGACTGCCTGCCCATATCTAACAAGAAATACCAGGATTTGCAGTCTCTGAAGAGATTTTGCAGAGAAAACACCTCATATTTCTTTTCACAGATAGAGTATACAAATTGTTTTACCCATGCTATAACTTCTAAACCATGCAAGATAATCGAACCGGACAAAAATCGTCCATTATAATTGGCGGTGTACTTTGAAACAAATAAAAATTTGGTGACCCATCCTCGAAAACTACCCCCCTGGAACAACCTCCTCAAAAATTATTAACCACACCCTAATTTTTTTCTGCTCATTTTTGTAGTCGCTACTTTTCTCTGTACAACTGTTTTTAAAATTTTGAAATCGCTTCACAAATAAGTGAGATTCGTTTTTTTTTTATTTTCATCAATTTGCTTGCTGTAAAATTCATGGTAAGTTTTCTAGCGCATTATAAACAATACTATATCATTCTTTCTATTGTCAAACACAAGTGCAGCTTAAATACTCGATAAAATTAGCAGTTTGTACTTGATAAAGTTTGCAATAATTTGGAGTTTGTCAAGTCCTAACAAATTATTTCAAAATGCCTACTGTGTTTAGTTCCAACGAATACACCGTTATGATAATTATTTAGGCGACTGTTGCAAGAATTTAAGACAAGCTAGACAATTATACTATGAACGTTTTCCGAATAGAACAATTCCCTCAGTTATAACGTTTTCCAATTTAGAAAGAAGTCTTAGACAAGGACATTTTCCTGACGGTAAACATCATAGAGGACACAACAGAATGATCAGAAATAAAGAAAATATTATACACGTTTTGGCTTACGTTCATATAAATCCACATGTTTCTATTATTTAATTAAAACTCGAAAAAGCTTGGAATAAGCAAAAGTAGCATCCAAAAAATATTCAAAGATAATAAATGTCATCCTTATAAAATGCACTTGGTCCAAGGTTTACACCCTAATGATCTTGAAACTAAATGACGATGCCACATTCTTAGATAAAATATTATGGAGCGACGAATCACGTTTCCATAATAATGGTGTATTAAATCGTCATAATTCCAATTACTGGTCCCCAACAAATCCCCACTGGGTAAGAGAAACAAGGTTTCAAAATATTTGGGGCATAAACGTATGGTGTGGTTTGTTCAATGGTAGGATTATAGGTCCTCATTTTTATGGAAACACTAAAGGGAATTGGATATCGTGATTTTTTAATCAATACCGTTCTTGATTTGTTGGAAGGTGTTCTTCTTAATCAAAGACGTGATATGCGGTGGCAGCAAGATGGTGCACCAGCTCATAATGCACAAATTGTGCGTGCGTGGGTGTGTGTGTGTGTGTGTGTGTGCGTGCGTGCGTGCGTGCGTGCGTGTGTGTGTGTGTGTGTGTGTGGGTGCGTGCGTGCGTGCGTGCGTGTGGGTGCGTGCGTGCGTTCGTGCGTGCGTGCGTGCGTGCGTGCGTGCGTGCGTGCGTGCGTGCGTGCGTGCGTGCGTGCGTGCGTGCGTGCGTGCGTGCGTGCGTGCGTGCGTGCGTGCGTGCGTGCGTGCGTGCGTGCGTGCGTGCGTGCGTGCGTGCGTGCGTGCGTGCGTGCGTGCGTGCGTGCGTGCGTGCGTGCGTGCGTGCGTGCGTGCGTGCGTGCGTGCGTGCGTGCGTGCGTGCGTGCGTGCGTGCGTGCGTGCGTGCGTGCGTGCGTGCGTGCGTGCGTGCGTGCGTGCGTGCGTGCGTGCGTGCGTGCGTGCGTGCGTGCGTGCGTGCGTGCGTGCGTGCGTGCATGCGTGCGTGGGTGTGTGTGTGTGTGTGAGGGAGAGTTGGCTTAGAATTAAATCTGTTAGCCACAGACTTTTTAAAGAAAATGACTATCTAAGCTTGTAGTTATACTTATAGCGGAAATTACCATAATAATATAAGATACACTAAAAACGAAATTGTTTCCAATTGTGAAAAATACAAGCAATTAGATGTTTCTGATCCAGAACTAATTATTATTAATTTAGGTATAACGGCAAGTAGTAATCAGTCTGAATCAGAATCCAGTTGTTAAGAAAATGATATTGATCAAAAAATGTATAGTTATGCAATTAATGTTTTCTGTGCCTCTTGTTAGAATATATTTTTTAACAAAGAATCTGTTTCATGAATTTGCACCTTTTTTGGATTATCTTTAAAAACTCTAAAAACGCTAAAAACCAATGTTCAGCTGGAAAATTTATTTATAAAGTACGAAAGTAAATTGTTCTAGTATTTGTAGACAAAATGTAATCTTAATTCTTTCAAAGTTACTTCTTGTATTCGTGTAAACACACCTCAATAAAGTTTACGCTGCTAAGCAACAACAAAGCGCAAGTGAAACAAGACGCGTGCAAACTGTAACTAAAAATGCGATACTCTTTTGTCAGAGGACTTGGGGTATTTCTATCACTTTACTTGAGCCCATTTCAATAATTAGTAAAGAAATACAATCTGTTTTGTATTTTGTATAAATTCGTGTTTACTAAATTAACAGAGCTCTTTTGGCTTTCGCCATTCTCATTGCTAATTTTCAGAAGTGAAATAAGACACGTGCAAACTTTAACTAAAAATAAGACATTTTTTATTCAGAGGATTTGAGGCACTTTTATCACTTTAATATGCCGCCTGTTTGGACTCTGCGCTGTGTGACGTAAATTGCGAATAGGTACACAATGACAGATATCCCCACAATCAATGCGCGACCGGGCCGTTGGCAACGTTGGTATTATTCGTTTCCTTTTCGAACTAATGCAAAGTCTCTGTATTTTTCCCTTTGACACTAGCAAACCATGTTGGAAGGTTTTAAATAGCCGATACTATATATTGTTTAATTTGTAAAAAATAAGAATCCTATTTTAACTTAGAAGATATAATTATTTAAAACTTTCGTATTTTAACTTTAAAGCTAGATGAAATAACAAAAAAAAATACGTGGAGTGAGGAAGCTAAAAAATTGCAAATCTTTGTTATTTATGTAACTATAAATTATTTTGTATAATTTTAGGTTTTCAGGTCAGCAAAACAAATTAATTGATATTGTAGAAATGTGAACAAAATAATCTTTAATCAATCAATTAAATATTATTATTACAAACTTTTATGTTTTAGTATCAACCCTTTTTAGTTGCAAGAATTGGTTGTGAAGTTTATGCAGTTGTAATGCTTATTAGATTGGCCATATATTATTGGTATGCCACTGAAATTATGTCAAAAGTAAGTATTCGCTCGAGGGTTTGTAAGTCACTTAAGGATATACACATCTGTTTATGCCCGCGGTGCATACAAACTTTTTTCTACTTCTACACTATAAGTTGTTAATTAAATGCTAATTTTCAGTTTCACAATGATACTCATTATAACACTGGTTTTCATTATGAAACTGAAAAATTGCTAACAGAAATCTAGATTTTTAAATAACCAAGTAGGCAGACTCAATATTTTCTGTAGAATGTTTGACAGTTTCTAAGAGATTCGTGTTTTATGACAGTTTCAATCTTTTGCGTTAGTCACAAAAGTAGATAGGTACCTCTCACTTATTTTTGAAAAAAATGTCGAGCGACGAAGAGTTTTCATGCACACCATCTGAATTCGCTGAGAAGGCGAAAAATGAAGAACTTATTTCTATTTCATATTTCATTTCTTATTGTCTGTATAAAAAAGTATTAAAAAATTAAAAAAAAATGAAGCAATGTTGTTGAATTGAAATAGTTTCGTGGTCGTAGCAAAAATAGTGTAAGCAACTATCATGTAATAAATACATGATCGTTGCATAATCTACTATTATGTCATACTCATGGTATAAAAAATAGAAAGTACTATATCAACTGTGTTAAAACTAGGATTACTACGCACATGACGTCACGCGTAGAGTTTGTATATGCGCGAATTTAAAAATACGGACGAAGTGTGAGAAAAATATATGTTATTAACAGAAATTTCATGAATATTAAAGGGTAGTTGTGGTGCTCGCGTCCTGTTTGATGAGCCCACAAAGAACTTCTAACAGATTTGTTTATGACATTTTAGTTGCTTTTTCATGTTTGACGTTTTATGTCATTATTTTTACTTTTTGGTTATATGCAATGTTTTGGAGTGACAACCATCTGGTCGCTCTTTTTTTTTTTTTGAAATCTTTCAATCAGCCCTTGTGGCAAAACTCACTTCAAATACTTGGAAAGATGAATTGCCTTTGATTCTCCTAGGTTTGCGATCTGCAATCAAAGAGGACTTACAATGTTCACCCTCGGAACTTGTTTATGGACAAACGCTACGTCTTCCTGGTGAATTCTTTAATAATTCTAAAGAAAAAACATAGCTTAATCAATAACGGTGACGTTATTAAAATGCAACGCGAAAATAGTCAAAACGGATTCAGGGTACCCCAAAACGTAAAAATCCGTCGAAAACTCGAGGTCGAAAAAAATCGTCATTCCTATACTTTCCTTATCTGTATAAAGATAGGAAAGTAAAAACAAAGAAAATTTCCTAACAAAAATAAACAACCTACTATCAAAAAATTCCTAATAACAAACTTGAAATTGTTCTTAATGGCAGCCCAAAAAAGAAGAAAAAAATATACATTCGATTTTTTACCTCGAACGTTTGTTTATCCACATCGGACCAGGCCCGTAGCTAGCCCCATGTTTCAGAGGGGGCTAAACAAAATCTTGGGGGGCTTCATTTTTTTTTTATTAGAGTATAAACATTCCAAAAAGACATGAGGAATTTTGTTTTGAATTCCTTCTTCCGATGAGGTTATTAAAAAAAAACAAGCAATTACAAAACACATACTTATTCAATAAAAAACATTTTGTTTAAACAAAAGAATAAACTCTACAACAAAAATATAAAACTTTTTTTCCAATGAACATTTAACTGGTTGAGGTTTAAGTTAGTAAAAACGGCATCAAATATGCCAAAGTGTTAAAAAATTATTTTTTTTTATCAATTTTCAGAATAATTGCAGTTTCCTATTTTTTAAATTATTAAACTCACTCAGCAGATTTTCAATATTTATGTTTTTTGTTCTCTTTTTTAAATGCTAAATGGATAAGGTTTGCCAGTCTCGGATGTAACAATGACATCCGCTGAGGTGTCTGAGGTCTATCAATTCTAGTAAGGGCAGGAAAACTGGTTTCACAGAGAGCCGTATTACAGGCGACAGTACGGCAAGTTGCTAGAAATTCATAAGTTTCTTTAAAAGCAGTGTTTTGCCTAAAAATACACTGAAAAATATCGGGATTCTCTGCAGCATCCTCGTTTCTCTGTCGATTTATATATTTCTTGACGACTTCTATTTCCGCAGCACTTGTCAATTGAATGCCCAGTTCGGCCAATGGTTGACATTTTTCAATATCCAATTTTTTTCCTGACATAATAGCTTCAATTAAATCATTGTTGTCGTTAAATCTACGTCTTAGCTCTACTAATATTAGGTCAAGAACTTCAAAAAATATTTTGTTTGAAATCTGCTTCGCTAACGACTGTAGATCTCATAGGCTCGGTAAGTACAAAATTTTGTAACACTTTGCTGGGTTTTCTTTTTCTTGGCGGTGATGGGTCTTCTGAATCAATAATTGAAAATTGTACGTTCATTATATTAACCAGCCGGTGGTACTCATCACTATTTCGCTTTTTTTCAAGCGTTTGCACAACGGCTGAGACTATTTTCATGATGTCAGTAAGTGTGGCCTCCCTGCTTTGTAGAATTGTTTCCGTGCGTGTACTGCTATCTGCCAGTAAGCAGTTTTAAGTTTTAACAAAATATCTTGGTTTGACACTACAGGGAAATTAGCGGTATTACCGAAATAAAATTTATGGTTATCCGATTTCCAGTTTAAATTTATTGTCTGTGGCTTTGTGTTTATTATGTTTTGATTAAAATGGACAGTAAGCAATAAGTAACTGTTAATAAATAAAGTATTTTGTTGTAAGAGAATATAATATAAGTGACTCAGAACCATTACTAAAAATATATTGATATAACGGTTCTACTATAAAATTTTTATAGTAAGTATTTTTACTCAATTCCCATTTTCCAAAAAAAAAAAAATCAGTACAATTTTAAAAATCGTCGATGCGACTCATTGTTTGCATTTTTCAACGGCCGTTAATCGCGCTTCTATATATGGGCAATTTTCTAGGGGGGGGCGCAGACAAGATTTAGGGGGGGCTCAGCCCCCTTGGCGCCCTCTCGCTACGGGCCTGCATCGGACGCATCTGCTCCAACTAATTTACGTACCTTGAATCACGTGATCAAAGATTCACAACATCTCAGATGCATCCGATATGGATAAAAAAACGCTGCAAATGTAGTCTGAAATTGCAAAGATAAAAATGTGTTAACCCTATCATGATAATTTAGTTGTTATTTAGTCTAACACTCGCCAACATTTATCTTATAGAATCCTTTTGAAATTAATCTGATTAATAAACCAGGAAATAAAAAAAAATGTAGACTTTGAAAATAATTTAAAGCAAGATAAAAGTATATAGTGGCGTGGAATAGATAAACAATAAGAATTGGCAGGATTAAATATCGAGTATTTATATTATAAAGTTTTTAAATAAATTACTACTGAAAAAACTGTAAAAGTTTTTTTTATATTTAAATTTAACTAAAATTAATCTACTAAATCCTCAAAAAAAGAATTATATTTAGAAGTGATAAGTTGACATCTGCACTGTATATAAAAATCAGAAAGGGCTTTTCAATTCAGCCATTCATTCAAGTCAGTTTTAGCAGAACTATTTCTACATTTTTGTAGGCGTAAAACGGGACTTGGTTATACGGAGTGGCCCAAAAGTCTGGAAACGGCCAATTATCTCGTAAATTGCTAGTCCTACTTATACAAAATTTGGGGTACACCTATTTTGAGATATGGAGATTCCAGATTTGATATTTGTAATGTTGCTAGATTTTTCGTTTCTCTTATATTATTAGTCACTTTGGTTTTTCAAATTGATCACCTTTGTATATTAAGTCATTATTGGAATCTCCTATTCAATACGAGTTCAACCATATACAACACTTATGATTTTATGTAGTCTGGAAGGTCTAAAATAAAACAATCATGGAGAAATGTGGTAAATGCACTCTATCATCGATTAGGGTACTGTCAACTCACAAATGAAGCACATTTTGAACACTTGATAAAGTAACCATTTTGTTAAAAATGGTGTAATCTTTCAATTGTTACGTTTTAATGTAGTTGAAATTAGTTTGTATTAAAAAATGTATGAGACAATTAGGCGTTGCCAGACTTCTGTTTTATTTATTTAAGACCTTCTAGACTACATAAAATCATAAGTGTTACATATGGTTAAACTAGTATTGAATAGGAGATTCCAATAATGACTTAATATACAGGGTGATCAATTTGAAAAACCAAAGTAACTAATAATATAAGAGAAACGGAAAATGTGGCAAATTTGCAAATATTAAATCTGGAATCTCCGTATCCCAAAATAGGTGTACCCCAAATTGTGTACAATTAGGACCAGCAAAAAAGTTATTATGATAATACGAGCAAAACTGAATTCGTTTCAAGACTTTCTATAATATTTTAGATACCAATTTTTCGTTAAATGCATTTTTGTAATTCTAAGTTGTTTGTGTAGTTCTATCACACCCTGTATTACTTATAAAAATTATTCATTATGAAATGAAATAAAAAATGGTGTGAAGTCATATTCTAACTATGGTAATACATGTAAAATACACCATATTTCAATAACTGATATTCCTAATTTTTTGAACCCGCTGTAGGTATTATATATTTTTGCAAGTGTAAGTAAGCATAAACAAACTGTATACAAGTGAAACACATTACATAAGTTTCATGGAAAAAACAAGAATTACTAAAGAGTAATGGAGATATATTTGAAAATATTAATTCTGCACTCCTTACATTTGAATTCTTCTAACAGCTCACCCTGTAGAGCTGCCTACTTGAGGTCCATAAGAAAGTTGTCCCTAATGACCTGAAAAATTACATACTTAAATTTGAACAAATTCTGCCAGTACTCAAAATCAATGTAAAAAGTGCGGGGTCCTTTGTTAAATTAACTAAATCATTTCATTTTATATTTACTGCCTACCTGACTCAAAGAAAATTGAGAATACCGTGGTATAAAAGCGTCTTAGTTTGAAATTGAGATTTTTGTCCTACCTAAATTAGAATAGGGATGCATCTCAGTTATGGTATTCTTCATATTAAGTTCATATTGATAGAAGATATGTTATGCTTATGATTAAAATCTGACAATATTTATCCACCTTGTGGAATACTCCAAGATATCTTACTTTATTGATTTAAATTTGATGATTTTCAACTCGTCGTTCGTGTACCTCTTTGGTTACGTCACATAAAATTGCAACTATTAAAATTTATTGCCCAGAGTCAGTTAATCATTTCACCCTATTATTCTATTTTCCAATCTCAAAACCATTTTATTAAAATATTCACCACTTTAGAATAAGTGAAAATTACTCCCTGGTGCATAATTCACTGGAAAATTTCTTTGTTAGTCTGACCAGTACCAAGAAGAAAATTTTAAGTCTCAAATGGGTATATAATTCAATTTTGTAGTTCAATTATGCGTGAATGTACATTTTTTTAACTGGAGTTTTTTTTGTAACCCAGACAGCACACATCTTAAAGACGTCTGTTTTATGTCGTAGTTATTACTGAACGCCTAAAAACCTAAAAAAGACGTTCTAAAGACGTCATTATAAAGACGTCTTTTAGGACACATAAATAGACGTCTTAAAGACGTCTTTTAAATGTCTATCTATTTAAAAAATATAAAAAATAATGGTTACATTAAAAAAAGTACTGGCTTACTTGTTGTTTCTAATTTCACAAAATATAAATTTATTTTTAATTTTTTTTTATTAATTTACATAATTTACTTATTTCTTTTATTTATTCACGAAGCATTTGTTCATTAGAGTAAGTAAATATTTGATAACATAAAAATAATAATATTAATAAATATAATTCTAAATAAAATTAACAATTAAAACATATTAAGACAAATTGAATTACGCGCTCTTTCAACTTGGCCAGAACTTGGTTCAACGATCGAAGCGAATGTTTTTATATGCTTTGTCTTTTTTTAACAGTAGAATTTAAATAAGGACGTGTATCTATTATTGGGGTTCCGTGGTTCGTAGCGTTCTGCGTTGTCCTTTCTTTGTCATTTCGTTGTCATTTGTCGTTGATGTTGGAGTGCGTTTAGAAACCTCGCACGGCGCATCTCACCACATACATTAGAATAGGGACAAGACGCGCCGTGCGAGGTTTCTAAACGCACTCCTGAAGATGAAAGCCGAGAGCAAAGACAACCCAGCCCGAGAGGTTAGTTTTTGTTCATTATTCGTTGATTTTTCTATTTGTGTCTTGTGCCGTGGATAACTGTGAATTTATAAGCATAAAAGTTTACTGCATATACTGAAAAACAAAATAGAAAAACCCTTATTAGCGTTTTAAAAACGTCTAGGCGTCTAGAGCTGATTTAGAAGCTTCATCGGATAAAAATATGTCTAAATAAGAGATGGAAGTAAAGGAAGATTGCCATTCTTTGATCACCCTGAACTCACAATATCTACTGAAAATCCTTTTAAAGCGAATTTGACAGAGTGACCTATAATGCATAATATTTTACAAAGCGCAGTTAAAATTATTGCAACTCAAACTGGCTCAGAAGAGCATCAGACAGAAAATTAACCACTAACGGAGGAAGAATAAAAAAAAAATTTGTAATATTACTTTTTTTAACGAAATGTTTCAGTGTTTTGTTAATAACAATGTTTATAGAAAATGTGTTTTATTTTGTATAGAAGGAATTTACAGAAGCTTTTAAAACTAAACCCGGGAGTACGTCTTACCAATGTCGAAAAACAGACATATTCAAGATGTCTTAAGAACGTTACCTTTTGTAACATCAGACGTCTTAAAGATGTCTGGGAATGTACTTTCACGAATAATATGCAATATAAAACTGTATATTTAAATGTTGTTTTTTTTTTGTTGGGTTCTGTTTATTTTAAAAAATTCTTTACTGTTCCTTTTTGCCATTTTTGCATTACTATCTCATAGTGTAATATATTATTGTATGTCAATTTTCATCCAATAATTGGCTTGATTTAGGGAGTTGTATACTAAATAAATAAAATAAATAAATAAAAATACTATAACCATACTGCCCACAAGACTGAACTATACTTTCCACAAGACTAAACTATACTGTCCACAAACTGCGCCATACTGTCCACAAGACTGGACCATACTATCCACAAAACTCCGCATTACGTGTCTATTTATTATTATTATTTTATTATTAAATATTTTATAGAGTTGGGAGCTTGGTGACGTATTATATGATTCACATTGGTATAATAAATCAAAAAAATTTAAGTCACTAATGGTTATTTTCTTAATGAGATGTAACAAGCAGACGGGTCTTCAGATTGGGTCATTATCGATTATGACCTGGAGCATATTTATTGGAGTACGTATATTTGTTTACATAAGAATTGGTTTGCTACTTAAAAGGTATCTTGGTAGTTAACCTCACTTAATACACATGACAGAGAAACAAAAATGGCTGCAATTTGCGGAAGTCTCTATAATGTATATCTTTTAAGTAGCTAATCAGGTCTATTAAAAATTATCTCTGATCATATAATATATAATTTCAATATTTTAGATTTTTGTTTAAAAATTAACCTATTTTTTTTAGATACTGAAAGGAGCTTATTCTTTCATTACTTTTGTCCTGCGTTAAACAGTTGAAAAGTATACTTCACTTAATAATTTAAAAAATAACTTTCCACTACATTTTGCATATAATTTTAATAAAATTTTATCACTTGGCAACTATTTAGTTTTATTTGATTGCCCCTAAACATCCTCTGTGTATTACAAAAGACCTTAGAGCTTATGTACTGAGTGGGGTAACCCCTTCGGTGTTAGGTACACGACGCATTATGATTGGCGAGTTAGGAACACGACAATTTATGATTGGCGAATTTAAATAATGCGTGTATTTGTGATAAATGACATTTCATTTGACGTCTTGTTTTCATTTTTAAAAAGATAATTTTTTGTGTCTTCCAAAGACAATTTAGACGAGGTGTCTCTTTGATAAACTTTTCAAGTGTATTTTTATTATAAAATAATAGTTTGCAATAATATATTTTTCAATTATCCTGGTTGACGTATCACAAGTAAGTATTCTATATTCCATAAACGTAACTTAAAATGGGAAATGGGCAGATGAATAAGAAAACATGTTTGTAGAATGTATTTCATTTGAGCATCACCGCAACTAGTTGCGTTCGACAGAAAATAGTTATTTTCTTTGCGATAATGCTTAATTTTATATATATATATATATATATATATATATATATATATATATATATATATATATATATATATATATATATATATATATATATATATATATATATATATATATATATTTATAGGCCTTGGTGGCATCCCTCCATGTTAAAATTGCGTCTGCCATGGCATCCACGTCCTCGTGGCATCCGATATACAGATGCCACGAGGACTTTCGATGAAACTCATCGCAAATGAAAGGATCCTACCCCTACTAACTCTCGGCAAAATATTGGCGGGATGCCAAAACAGCCTATTTTTGTATGTTTTTAAACATGGTAGTTTGAGCAATGACCGCAACTGCCGCCACTTTCGTGTGCTGTATATTCTGAGATATATTTAAAGGAGGTAATGGCATCCAATGATATACATATTCATTTTGAGTACCTGGTGGCCTCTGTATATTCCGTTTTCGGTTTGATGGCATCCATTTCATTGTTGCCAGATCTTATATTGGTTTATAACTCAGTCTTTTCATTTTTATAGATTCTGTAACATACTTTCACTAGGATGAGGCGCCCTTGCGATTTACTTCCGAGAAAATAACATGTGTTTTTAAAGCTATTTTTATTATATTTTTTGAAATATACTGGTTAAATTAGGTACACTTATTCTGTCACTTTTTAAACTGTAATCTGTGAGGAACAGATTTGTTTTGTATAAAAATTTGCACAGATTTGTCTGCCAATGTTGATAAAATTAAAAATCGTATAAGGCATAAGCTAGGAGAAATTAGCGGACAAACTGGGCGACGATGCTTGAAAATTTCAATATTGTTATTCGCTGAAATCTTTGGTTTAGATGAACTTTAGTGTCATGAAAGTTAAAAAATAAATAAAAATTATCATTTTTATTGAAAAAATCATTAATTCAGTTTAAAATATTATTTAAAACAAAATATAATTTTTATACCGATTAACCGATTAAACAAAACATTAAGACTAATAATGATTCAAAATATATATTTTTTTCTTTTAAAGTCAGGTTTTTGCCGCCAAACAACTATGGGAGCAGAGAGGGGAAAACACATTTAGCCCAAGATTACAAATACAATTCTTATACTACCAATTCAGTACACTACTTTTAATTAATTAAATCAAAATCATTAAATAGCAAGAACTCCAACATAATTTTTAGGTCTTTAAAGTCATTCGTATCCGCCGATAAATGTTATTCCATCAACTTTCCGTTTGAATTAACTTATTACCTGGAACGTTACATAGTAAGTCTGTTTTTTCTGCCTAGGCAGTAAACATATATCTTTCTAAGTCTTTAAAGTGTCAATAAAAAATATACCTTTATCGCGTGATATAGCGGTAAGTTACAAAATTAAACATATTTTATTCCAACGATTTTGTTGAAAAATCTAGAAATTGTTCTGGTAAACAGTTCCCGAGGTAAGGCCAAACTTAATTCTCGTGTGTTATTTAAAAAAAAAAAATTATTCCATTCTATGACTACCAGTTAACACAAACTTTTTCATAAATTTAAATAATTTTTCAAAAAATCAAAAAGCGACATTATACTTTCCAATTATACAAGGTTCTCCAAGAAAGTGATACATATCACAGTTTTCCAAAATGGGACACCTTGTATTTCATATATTTGAATTTTCCTTGCCTTTCTTATTATAACAATAAAATAGTCTGAGATTATACAGGGTATTTCACACGCTATAACCAGTTTTATATAAAATTCGTACTGATTTCAAAGACGTGTATAGTGCAAAATAAACATTTGAAAACCATTTTTGTGCAGTAAAAGGTTTTCATTATTAGTCAAAAATTTTTACCGATGTACTACTTTTTTAATTTTAAACAAATCTTTATAGGGTACGTCAATACAAAAAATTTAGTAACTATTTCTATTTGGGACAAATCTATTGAATTCGTTTAATATTATTTTTATTTTAAACAACATTTTTAATAGATAAATGTTAAATTGTCATTTGTTTTATTAGGCAAAAAAGCACAAGATTTAATGTCGTGGCTGGTGTTTCATAGGCGAAGCGCAGCTAAGACTAGGAAATCAGCCAAGGCATTCGGAGAAAAAATGATATGTTCCACACAGCAGAAAATTAGATATAATGCCTTGGCTGGTTCCCTAGTCTCAGCTTGTGCTTTTCTGGCTAATAAAACAAATGACATTTTCACATGTATTTATTTAACATAAGAATAATATTATACGAATTCAATGGATTTGTCCTAAATAGAAATAGTTACTAATTAGAAATTAATAAATTGTAATAATATTTTACCAAATATTTACAACATTATTATACTCTTCACACAGTAGTCTGTGAAGAGTATTATATGTTTACTTTTGTCGGTCTGTCTGTCCGTCCGATGTCACGTTTTTTGTCCGCACGATAACTCAAAAACGAAACATGATATCTTCTTGAAATTTATAGAAAAAATCAAACTCTATAAGGGGACAAAGCCTATTGATTTTGAAAAAAATCGGAATAAAAATGAGGGGTTTAAGGGGGGGTTGAAACTTAAAAAAATTATAAATCATTTAGGAAAAATGAAGTTCTATGAAAGGACGAGGCCTAATAATTTTTAAAAAATCTGATTAAGAATAGGGGGTTATAGGGTAGTTAAAGCTTAAAAAAATCATAATTTAAAAACGAAATATGATATAAATTTGAAATTTTCAGGAAAAATCAAGCTTTATAAGGGAACAAAGACTATTTTTTTTTTTAATAAATCTGACTAAAAAGGGGAGGTTTAAGGGGGGGGGGTTAAAACTTTAAACAAATCATAAATCAAAAACAAAACATGATATTAACTTGAAATTTTAAGGGAAAATCAAGTCCTATAAAGGGACAAAGTCTAGTGAATTAAAAAAAATTAATACAAGTAGGGGTTTAAGCGGGGTTTAAATGTAAAAAAATCATAAATTTAAAACGAAACATGATACCAACTTGAAATTTAAAAAAAAAATCAAGCTCTATGAGATGACGAAGTCTCTTGATTTTTAAATAGATCCGATTAAAAATGGGGAGATTAGTGGGGGGTTGAAACTTTAAAAAAAATCATAAATCAAAAACGAAACATGATATCAACTTTAAATTTTCAGGAAAAATCAAGTAGAGGACAAAACCTATTAAATTTTAAAAAAATCTGAATAACAGTAGGGGGTTAAGTTGGGTTAAAATAAAAAAAAATCATTCATCTAAAAGAAGTATTATATCAACTTGAAATGTTTAATAAAAATCAAGCTCTATAAGGAGATAAAGCCTATTAATTACTAAAAGAAAAAATCTAAATAAAAATTGGGAAGCCTATTTATTCCCAAAAAAAATGTTTATAAAAAAATCGCTGGTTAAGAGGGTCTGTTAAACTGTGAAGAGTATAATATAGAATGCCAAGCATTATATATCCTCATTCTAAATTTAAAGTTGCTTTATTGCTCTTTATTTTATGTATTCGATACATTTTTTGTCTTTTATTCGCTGAAAAAGAACAATAACATATACGAATCCAATAAACACATTTGTCACAAATAGGTAGTTACTAGTTAGTACTTTATAAATTTTAATAATATTTAACCATTTATTTGAAATTTTCTTTTTACATTTTTTTTATTACTATTTCTTATGTATTTATTTAAATTGTCGTTTCAATAAAAATATTTTACACATATTTAATAAAAAATATCTTTTAAAATAATAATATTTTTACGATTCCAATAAACACATTTTTCCTAAATAGTTATTAAATTTTAAGGATATTGTAAAAAAAAATTTCAATCAATAAATTACAGCTAGTAAAATTCTAATAACTAATTAACACACAGTCTACTTCCAGTCAACCAGTGACCAGTTAAAATTAAACTATTTTGTGAATTATCTTTTTTGTCATTTATATTTAAAAATCTCCCAAAATTATTAGTTTTAGGTATAGAGAATGCTTAACTCAAATTAAACTTTAAGAAACGTTCTTTTAAATGGTGATATAAAATACAATTAAAGAAAATGGGAAAATTATGTATTTCCGTACTGATGTACCCTATAAAGATTTGTTTAAAATTAAAAAAGTAGTACATCGGTAAACATTTTTGAATAATAATGAAAACCATTTACTCCAAAAAAATGGTTTTCAAATGTTTCTTTTGCACTATAAACGTCTTTAAAATCAGTACGGAAAACTTTGATATTGTATTACTTTTTTAGAGAACCTTGTATAATTGGAAAGTATATGTTGCTTCTTTGATTTTTTGAAAAACTATTTAAATTCATGATAAAGTTTTAATCTCAAATTTAACATGCTTTTTAATAGAATGAAATAAAAAAAAAAAAATTTTTTAAATAACACACGAGAATAAAGTTTGGCCTTATGAACAGTTTTCAATATTATAATAATTATTGCCAGAAATAATCCATTGGTAAATTTCTATACGCGAATGAATTTAAAGGGCGAAGAGACCAATTTGTTTTTAGATCATTCGATATGCCTAAAATGTTTTTAAAAAGAGATTCTAATTCTTTGAACCGCTCTCAAATAGGTAATAATAAATCATTTCGTTGTAAAGGATTCCATTGTAAAGGTTTCCATTGTAAATAATAAG